GTTCAGACGTGTGCTCTTCCGATCTCCCCAAAACCCCAAAACCCCAAAACCCCTGCTATTTGAAATTGGAGAATTGGAGGTGATATAAAAGTTTAGAATATTTCATGATGAAAGAATAATTATATATATTTAAAGAAATGGACTAATCTTAACATAAGCATCATCCGTCTGGGAACTAGCTGAGGGCCTCTCTTTCCCCCAAATTTAATCAGACGAGATTGCCTTCAAACACTGCTAGACCTCCATCAGGATCATTAGGCTCTATTAATCATCCTCAGTCTACTAAAAATAAGAATACCAAGGCTATTTCAATAGGATAATCACATGGCTTTTCAATGAAAAAGGTTTCGATTTAGCATTAGTCTGCCAAAGATCTTGAGGCCTAAATGGCTTCTTACGCTAAAAAATCGTAAAATCAGATTGAAGAACAAACTGAAGTTAATAACCTAATTAAGAAGCAGGCAGTAAAAACTAATTATAAGCAATATCTAACTAGTTTCAATGAGAATGGAAAATAAGAGAATGAAAGGAAGGTAGAGTAAAGCCAATTATTGCATAAAATGAGAGAGTAAAACAAAAGATATGAATCTTGCAACAATAACAACATTAGCCAATCATTTAATTAGTCGAGATTACTCAATGACTCACAGACAGCACACAAAAACAATAACTAATAAAGAATGAATATACAGTAACAGCAACTTATGGATAGTTAAATTCTAAATAAAAGTAGAAATAACACTTCATGATTACTCACGCAATTAGCAAGTGAATAATTAAACTAGCCCTGCGGATTTGTTCAAGAGTAGGAGTTATAAAAAAACGCAATCAAGTAAAAACATAAAAACGAGTAACCGAAAACTCTTGAGTTTCATCAAAATATCCTGTTTAAATCGATTAATCACAATATAGCCAGAAACTCCCTAAACTCAGAATTATAGAAACTTACCAGTGCTGGAGAAAAAAGTAAAAATACTATTGCTTCCAATAACAAGATCGATGATATTCAAAAATAAGCTTCTGATCTATTTGGGTAGATTTACGAAAAAAATCACCAAAACTGTAATAATCATCACTAGCTACTAAGATAGAGTTAGCAATTTAAAGCATTGCTAGAACCATTAAACGAAGCTAATAATATAAATTATAGGCAGAAATAGGCACCTTTTGATGATTAAAACGAAAAGTAGCCTAAGGTGAAATATGTCACAGATAACAATGAATTTATGCATCAACCATAGACAACAGAAAAAAGAAGTCTATCTGAAAACCCAAAGATAGATCAATAATTGCAAAGTTCATCTATTATGAGAGAAATTCAATAAACGATGGTGTAATCCAAGTATAACTATTATCAAGCTTTGGTTGTAAATAAAAAGTAAAAAAATAAATTGACTTAAGCCAAATGTCAATCAGCCCGAGCCGGATCAAGGCATAGCTAAGGACTTGTCAAGGACTTGAATAAATAGGCTTCTCAACTATCTCTGTAAACTATTCTCCCAAATCACGAACCACCCAAATGCTCTAATAAAAGAACCGGCGTTATTAGAGCATATGCAGCAAGCACAAATTAAGGCATTTACAGACAATATAATGAAGACAGAGTATCTATTATCTTAAATGTGGCGAGACCAGCAAATAAAATGGGTTTGAATGGCCAGCCAGACAACCCATTGAGGTGGCCAAAGTGTTCTTTCTTTGGTGTATATGATGGTCACGGAGGAGCTCTTTGTGCCGACTTTCTGAGAGATAACCTTCATCAGTATATTTTTAGAGATGAATTTTTCCCATAAAATCCAAGAGAAGCTATCAAACGCGGGTTCATTGAAGCAGAAAGATTTTTCCTTGAATATGCTTAATAAGTAAATCTAACTGAAAATTATTAAGAACCAACTGTAGATATAATTGATAAAAGTGGTTCATGCGCGATTATCACACTTGTGGTAGACGATATGGTTTATGTTGCTAATGTTGGCGACTCTAGAGCTATACTGTCGGCAAATAATGGTTAAAAGATTTACTGTCTATCTAAAGATCATAAACCCAATGATCCATGTGAAGAAAAAAGAATAGTATAAAATGGTGGAAAACTTTATTAAACACCTATCCCTGTAAAAATCCCTTTGCTTAATGGAGGTACTATTATTAGTAAAAACACTCCATTGCCATAGCAATAAATGGGCCCTCAAAGAGTGTTTCCTGGAAGGCTCTCTGTTTCAAGAACTTTTGGTGATATTGAAGCAAAATTAAGGCAGTATGGAGGATTACCAGGAGTGATATCAGCTGAACCAGAAATCAGATAGTTCAAAGTGAATTGAAGTGAGCATGATTTTGTCATCATGGGCTGCGATGGTATATTCGATAAACTAACAAACAAAGAGGTAATTGATTTAGTCTGGGACGATGCTAACTAAAAGATTGAACAGTGCTCAGACACCCAGCAACACTAAAATACTTTAGATCCTCACAAGGAATGCTCCACGGCTGTAGACTTAATATTGGCAGAGTCAGTTAAAAAGAAGACTTTGGATAATATCACAGTTGTCATGATTTCATTTACCAACTTTAAGAAACAATAAATAAACTCTCATAGAGAGAGGTAAGACTCTCAGCTATTGACAGAACGAGATGTGAATAATCGCATTGAGTTCAAAGAGCATCCGAGGTAAGTTATGACTGAAGCATAAAGTGCAGCTACTTCAAGACATCAGAGTGAGGACAGTCAAAAATCAAAGACAACAATGAGTCCAACTTCAATGAGTTAGAGTACTAACAAACACTACTTTGTCCTTTCCAAGAGTAGACTTTAAAACAAACAAATTGGGGGCTCTAGTGAAAGTGATGTAACATCTTAGCAAACCTCTGCATAGTAAAATAGCACTATTACAGCAAATAACCTTCCAACCAATAATGAAGCAAGTAAAATGCAGTTAAATAAAGTACTGTAAAAATATGAAGGAAAAGTTAGCATGAATCCAAGTAATAACACCAATAATCCCTAGGCAATAAATGAACTCAAGAAGAAAACTTTGCTTTTCAAAAAGTCGATTGACGAATAAAAATAGAAAAATCTTTATCAAATACTGAAGCAAAAGCAATTGGTGGATAACGCCAATGGCAATGCAAAGCATTTGGAAAATAACTTATTTACAAAAGAGACTAAAGTTAAAACTCTGTAGCTCAAGAACTATCCTTTGATAGGTTCAGCTAGAAGCACAGGTAGCTATAATAGTAATAAAGAGTACGAGAAGTAGAACACTCCCAAGAATGCTACCTCTAAGACACCGAGGGAAGGCTAAATGAGCAGCCCTGATAAAAAGAGAGCATCAAATTAAAATTCAGACTATAAGATTGGTGGAGGGAACTTCATTTATGTTGAACCGCTGAAAGATGAACAACTCTAATAAAATTAAAGTCCTTATGTCGTCAGAAACTCTATGACGCTTAGACCACAGATTAAGCCAGGCACAAAGTATCTTAGACAGTCTTCAGACAAGAGCTTAGCCAAAACATTGAAAATAAACGAAAGGTTTTAAACAGACAATTTCGCATAGTAATCTACAGCTTCTATGGTGTCAAGGCCAATAATAGGAGTAGGGAGTTCAGAAAGTAGATATGTAAAGTAAAACCTAGCAAATAATCATACTAGTAATAATAATAACTAACAGCACTACTAATATAACATTCATTAGTGATAGCCTTGATCGAGTGAGTGAGTTAGTGTTTAACTCAGAGACCATTTAAGGACTTGTTCTTTGTAATTAGTATAATCCAATCAATCTACATTATATATTGATAGATAGAGACATCAACTCATTATAGAATTTTCATAATTATTATAATAAACAAGTTATCACCTAAATAGATCTCATGGGGTTTTGGGGTTTTGGGGTTTTGGGG